AAGCGATGGCGGTGACCACCCCAGCTTCGTAACATGGGTCTGGAGAACGGCCACTCAAGTTAACGTGATAGCTTCCTTTGACGTTACGAGTCTATGAGTTTAATATAACCCAGAGCCTTACCGGGGTAATACTCGCATACACTTGACATCGCGCGAACTTTGGCATTCAGATCCGTCACGTTCTCCACTGTAATCTCATCCATTCGCAGGCATTTCAGCACGTCTAGCGCATACTGAATCTTCGGAAGAATCACATCTGAAAAAAAGATCAAGGATTGCTGCGAGAACAATCGATCTTCAGAGAACACATTGTAAATTGAATTCATCTGATCTGATTTTTGATTTGCGCCACACCTTGTTCTCTCTCATTAGAGCCTATAGATGCGCTAGAAACGGTTCGTCAAATCTTTTAAAACGAGGTGATGTTTTAAAGTGCAAACCAGTTCTCGTTCACTTCTCGTTACTGCCTATGAACTAAGGTAAGTACAGTCCTCATCATTGCGGACCGGTGGGGCGTGTCAGCCAGTATGAGTGTGCACACTGTTGAAGCCGTTCTCAGCCTTTTTGTTGAAACGCGTATGCGACAAAAAGTGGTAGAAAACGAGTAATACGAAGGATATAATACAGTAATGTCACTTGCCCGCTTCAACAACTGGTGCAGAACGACTTTGGCACCGCGCCAAACGCAGCCGCACTGACACGCCCCACCGGTCCGCAATGATGAGGACTGTATGAATGAATGTTAAATAGTATGAATTCAAAGTGACGACTGAGCGATTTTCTGTGAGGTCTCTGCAGGTGACCGCTTATTTTTTGTAATACTGACAAGTTTGCTACTATGATGGGCCGTTCTACTTCCAGCAACTATGCCAAGAGGACGAGCTCCTTGGAATAAATGCGAAAGCTTTCTTGACCCTCATGGTTTTTTTGGAGGTAGCGCGAATCTTTTCATCGGCTTTGGAGAGAGAGTAATGGGGAGAGTTTTCGAAGAATGTTTCCCAATAGTCGTCGGACGGGAGGGCGAAGATGGGCAGCAGAGCACCCTCTGCCGTTGTGAGTAAACTTGTCAAAATAAGGGTCCCTGCCCTCCAGTGACAGAACACGGCTCCTCCAGCTGGAGATACTCAGCGTGTGACATGCCCTGAAAGACAGGCCTCCGCTCAGTCATCAGATATGGTAAAATTTCTGCGCTACTGGACCAGGGGAACCAACTGTGAAAGAATTTTGCTACACCTTAGTACGATCCCTCCTCCTTTACCCCTTCCATCCTCCCAAACACAGCTACATAGTCCCTAGCGATGATGTGCCCTTGCTGAAGGAGCTCGGAGGCTCGTAGAAGGGAGCGAGGACCGAGGTAGTAGCAAGTGGGGTCGCAGGGAGAGTCGATAGGAAATCCACCTAAATTGCATCGCATATCCTAAATTAGTCGACGTACTTCACTCGAGGCTTTAGTACTATTTCACATTAAATCTTGCGACTTGCGAGACTTGTGCTGCGACTTGCACAGTTCTACCACTGGCTCCGGACCACACAAATCAATTAGGTCTTCGCGCAAATGTTGCGCAGTGACGCCGCTTGCAACTACTTTCGTCGCGTTGTGATCTCCCAACCGAAACCATGCCGCAACTAAACATATTCGTTTGCAACACTGCAATCAGTCAGGGTCAGCAGATCCCACCTCAGGCTGCCGCTCTACCAATGGTGATCGGGTAGTGATGAATTCAGGAAAAATTCAGTGATTGAATTCAGGAAACAACACCATTGTGGTGGAAAGGCCCCAGCAGGTGAGAGGCCGCTGAATAAAAAGAGCAAAAAAAACGTGACTAAGGGAGCGTTCATACTTCGCGACAAGCGGTGCGATCGCGGCGACCTCGGCGATCGCCGCGATCGCCGCTTGTCGCGAATTATGAAAGCAGTATGAAAGCAGTCGGTACAAGGCAGAGCGCGCTCGCACCCAACGTATTACTTTGCAAATCAAAGAAGGCTTTTGGGAAGGAGCTCAGTTCCATGCTTTTTTCCCTTTAGCTGCAATTTTCTTAGATACTAGGTGAACCCATCTTAATGGCTTTTGTTTCCTATTTTCTTTCTTGATTCAGGATAGAAATTAAAGCAAAAAGGCGTGAAGAGCTCGCAATTTTAGGGCTAGGTTTTTTATTGTTTCTTTTTTCATTCGTTGAGCTTATACATGAGGTTATAAAGTTCTCACCTGTTGATGTTGCGTAAAAACGATTAGTGTTTTGGTTCCTAGGAGACCGTTGCTCTTCTGTTTCTGTTTTTTTTCGTTGTTTTGGAACTCAACTTGTAAAACTACAAATTTTGGAAGTAGGAACAGTTCAGGCGATAGGAACTTCTTAAGGCGCTTGCATAATTGAAACAATAAAAACAAAAGAAACAAAAAGAAGCTCACCCAGGAAATGGAGTTGGCCTCATCCCGACCTAAAAAGAAGTGAAATCTCCTTACCTTCCAGATCCGCTTATGTACAGAAATTCGCAAGTTATCAGTTAGTAGCCATTATTAAGAGAAAAGAAGGTCTCACAAGTTGGAATTTCTTATTTATCAAGCGAGCAGTCCATAATAGCGTTTGGGGCGCGCGCTCTGCCACGTACCGACGATCGCGCGATTCGGCCGAAATAGTGAGGATATCCACTGTACACTCTGACAAAGGCGCGGTCCGCCATCAGGTATAGGAGCTGAAAATATGGCATCGTTAGTGTGGTTTTGGCGAGCGAAAAAAATACTTTACCGTCCATGCTAAAGGAGGAGCGCTTACAGCGCAATCATCGGTTCAGTGACTTGCTCCCGTGACTGCCGCCTCCATGACTTCCGCCCTACAAGACTCCCTTCAGCACCACTCCAGTGAAAAACAATAGCTGCATGAAGTAAAAGCATAAAAAAATCGCCACTCGTACAGTCGTAGAGTTCTTATCGGGGAATCCGTTTTGCGGATGAGGGCGTAGCGTTAGATCGAGTTAGTCGGAATGGGGTCCTATCAAGAGGCAGTTGGCACGTTTTTTTATGGTTTTTTCTTCACTATCGAGTTTGCCAAGCGACACGTTTCGTGCGAATATGCCAAACTCTTGAATCCACTGGCGAATGATCGCGGACCTTGTCTTTAAATTTTGCCTCGGTAACCAAACTAATTATTCCTCATACTTCTTGGTGTCATCCAGAAGATGTAGAAGTAAAACCACTGTCTTCCACACCATCTCCGAGCCAGCACATCTGCAAGGTTTCTGGCCAAGTGTGCGGCATACCCTACCAGATGAGGGGTTGAAGAAGGGGTGGGCGGGAGGGGGCTGTCCGCTCTACATCCTTCTGAAGGGTCTCTAGTTTTGGAGGTTATACAAGTTGCCACGAACTCATAGCGAGTATACAGTGGAAATCATAAGAAATGTTCTTTACAATAACTCACCTATGTCATAATCCCAACCCATCAACCAACGAAGAAGCGAAAAATCTGTATCATAGTCGGGATACTTGGCCAGATGCGCTGCTGCTTTCTCTCTGAGTTCAGCTATTTTTGTCTTCTGATAGGGTGTAATCTCACCAACGGTTGGATAGTGATCTTCGCCTTTCATTCTGTAAAACAATACTGTTTATGTTCCGCACTATCAAGAAAGGGGTAGGTGCATTCCGTATCTCAGAAATGAGGAGGGCGTGGCGGCGTACTTCATTTCAACATGACGCAGGATTTGTTTCTTATGGCACGTTTCAAATCAAAACCTACTGCCATCCCGTCTTGTGCTGAACAAGGACATAGTTACAATCGTCCTAAAACGCACGATAACCAGCCACGCTCTCCCTCTCTCCGGTTTTAGCTCGCGTTTCAACAAGATGGTAACAATAGAGTGAAAATGGAATGGTTGCGTAACTGGATCTTCGAGATTGCAAATCAGAGAAATTATTGAGCAGAATGATTCCCTGTAGACGGCAGTTTCAGGACAGGTTGACCCAACCAAAACGTTACCGACAGTTCGACAGTTCTTTTAGCTCCAGCGAAGGCACAGACAGCTAAAAATTAGAGAGCAAGGTTCTCTTGGATGGAGCTAAAATGTTGCCAAACCAAGAGTTTTACTGACGGTAGAGGAGACCAGAGCACTGGAACGAAATACTCTGTGGTCACAGCATCCGACTTGCTGCTTGTTTTTCTTTTTGTCACGAATGGAACTCAAATCCCTTGGTCAATCCCGCTCAAGGCACACCCTAACGCTGTAAGGACTTCTCGCAAAGGGCGTCGCCCCTCACTGCCCCCCCCCCACCTCAAAGATATTCCCATCTAGTGTGACCTTCCCCTGGTACCTGCCACCTGTCTGAACGTTCACGAAATCTCGCTTCCCAGCGAAATCATTTGGAACCAGTATCGGCGCGGAGCCGCCGGTCACTAATTTATGGCGCGGTTGAAACGGGAAAAATTTGCGATCAGAAAAATTTTTCGGCGCTATTGAACTGCTACTATCTCAAATATCGAATTTTTTTCATTGATTAAACTTTGCCTTTAGGGTCAACCCGTGCCCTGATCAGAACATTACTTTTGTTTAGACACGGACGTGACGCGGATTGGCGACTTGACGCGCTCGAAGTAGAAACAATTCCATAAACACTTTTTGTGATTCACGGATAAATCTCGTGAAAACTTCATCAAACGTTCATGTTCGTACACACAAAAAAGGTACTTTATTGGACGAAATTGAGAAGTCAGTAAAGAGTAGTAGACATCCGAGAGCGATCATAGTAGAATAGAACAAGGAATGAAAAGACACACTCGAAAGACACTCAGGCTGGTTGTCTTTTGGGATTCCGACTATGCTAAACCGTGTTCTTGAAGTTTTGATCGTTGAGGAAAAAATAACACAGGGAGAGTCTGAAATGCTCTTCAAAACGAGCGATAGTTTACGGTATCTCCTAGCTGGCGCATTCCGTCATACGTATTACTGTTCCACAGACCGGAAGAGCATATGACAAAGTATAGAGCTCGAGAGTGAGGGGCTCGGTAGGAGTCGCAGCTCGCAGTCTTGGCCTCCCCATGGGTCTGGGTGGCGCACATTGCTCAGCACGCAAAACTCCCACATAGCCTTAAAAATGTACTCTATACTAGAGATAGGATCAGAATGTGTCAAAGCTCTCGTAGAAAAGGACCTTGACAACCATGTCGCCAAAAACCTTTACATAATTGCCCACTCGAAAAGTATTCTCCTTCATCCC